ATCTGATCTAAAGATGATGCAGAAAAACTGGTCCATGCATTTGTCACGTCTAGACTGGACTATTGCAATGGTTTATTATCTGGGTGTCCAAATACTTCTTTAAAACGTGTTCAGTTGATCCAAAATGCTGCTGCCAGAGTCTTAACTGGAGTTACTGGGAGAGATCATATCTCTCCAGTTTTAGCTTCTCTCCATTGGCTCCCTGTCAAATCCAGAATAGAATTCAAAATCTTACTTCTAACCTACAAAGCTCTCAACAACCTAGCTCCATCTTATATTACATATCTTATTGTTCCATATTTTCCTAACAGAGCACTTCGCTCTCAGACTGCAGGTTTACTTGTGGTTCCTAGAGTTTACAAAAACAGAATGGGAGGCAGATCTTTCAGTTCTCAGGCTCCTCTCTTGTGGAACCAACTTCCAATCTCTGTCCGTGAGACTGACACATGGTCCAGTTTTAAGACTGGGATTAAGACTTTCCTTTTTGATAAATCCTATAGTTAGTGTCGGCTTGGGTTTCCTGAGCTGTCCCTTAGTTCTGCTGCTATAGGCTTAGACTGCTGGAGGACAAACTGACCACACTTTTCACTCTGCTGCTGTCTTTACTTACTCTGCTCAATCTGTTTGTATTTGTACTTATTTATATTGTAACTTGTGTTTTGTGTTTCCTCCTATAGAAAGTGCACCTGCACCTGTCATTCTGTGTCCGTCTCTACTTCCTGTCCTCTCAAACCTCAGCTGCTCGAAGCAGATGGACGCTTGTCCTGAGGCTGCTTCTGCTGGAGGTTTCTAACTGTTAAAAGGAAGTTTTTCCTTTTACTGCCTGGCTTCCTTAATATATATTAGTATATATATATTATATATTTGACTAATTGAGTTTAATAAAGTATATAAATGTTTTTGTACAATGTTCAGAGACGACTTCTTTTGTGACTTGGCTTTATATAAATAAAGTGAACTGAACTAATTAAAAAAAAATCACCAACAAACATTATTAACACAACATCTGTCTTTGGTGCATGTTCTAAAACTAATTTCTATTCAAACTGTCATACAAGACATTTTTTAATACAAAAGTGTTTTGTCCATCTGTTATTCTATTTACTGTGAAACTGTAGAGTGTAACCTGATAAGTACAAGATCAAGAGTAGGATATGGCTTTTTATGATCTTATAAACTTTTCCCCATCTGCCTTAACTTTGTTACTTGCTGTTATTTTATTTACAGTTAGGGCTGGACAATAATTCAATATCGATATATATCACGATACAGTAGTTCCTCACTACTTCGTGGTTCGTTTTATCGCAGCTTCGATATATCGCTGATTTTCAAAGTAACATTGGACATGACACACTTGGCTGATTGACGGATGAGCCATGGGTTGTTTATTTAAAATAAATTACTTTAAATGATTTTGCACCATGTGTGCAGCCCACAAGTGCAGGGGAAGCTCCCTCCTGCAGCTGATCAGCTGATCTCCTTCTCTGCCACACATTTCTCCTGCTGCAGCTTTTTAACCCTTTGTTGTCCAGATTCACTGATCGACTTTTGTCTTCCAACTTAAAATTCAAAGTATGTCACATCATAACAATCGTCATAATCACAAAATATAAAAGTGTTAAAAGTTATTTTTAATTATTTTATAACTTCTATGTTCAGTTGTTTCAGTGTCACTGATCAAGAAGAACATTTGTGCTCCGTGCTGCAGAGCTGAAGCTGCGTGACATCCTGTGATGTCCTGCTGCTCTTCTCTTCTCTACAATTTAATTTAAATACTGCAACATTTTAAATAAACAAATTATTTATTTAAAATGTTGCAGTATTTAAATTTAAACTGTTTATTTAAGGAGGGAGATTGGGAGTAACAGGTCATGAGTGTGATTACTGTCTCCCTACTTCGCGGCTTTTCACTTATGGCGGGGGGGGCGTGGTCCCTAACATCCGCGATAAACGAAGGACTACTGCATACTTTTATTCAATAACGGTGAG